CTCGGGTATCATTCGCCCAGAGGCGACACTGTTTTCTTGTACTTCTGCTGTACCTGGTACTTCTCTGGTTTGAGCACCTGTTTGGGCAGAGGTAGCTGTATCAACTTGACTCTCAGCCAACCGAGACCTTTTGGGGATTGTCGAATGATTGGCTACCGCCTTCCGTCTCGGACGCATACTGTCTGGTGTCTGAAGTGCATGACAGGACATATGTGCAGGCATTTTGACATATCATTTGTTGCAGTATATTGTGACGTGTAAATAAGATTATAGCTCTAGTAGTATAGCCACATATAAAATATTGAAGGAAATATTGATGTTATAGCAGTTGGAGTATATACCAATGTACTCAAAGATGTAAAAATGTAATCAACACTGTAAATTTGTATAATAGTAAATAATAATTATTTTTTGACTCCATTATAACCAGCATGACAGACAGGGAGAACATACCATGTATACCGACTACCTACAAGTAGGAAGTATTGGCAATAGTGAGTACATTGCTGTAAGCACCGGTATGAGCCACGCTGCTGTACAATGCATGCATAACAAAATGAAAAATTGGAAAAAATACTGAAACCATCATGGGCCAGTAACACAACTGAAGCCTTTTGAACTGAAACCACTATGGGCCAGTGACAAATCTGAATGATGAAGGTTTTTGACAACCAAAGGCCAGTAATATATATTCCTTCTGATTTTCTATTGATCATGAACCCACATGGGCCAATACTATTATTTATTTATTTTTTAAAGAAAATAAATATAGTGGCATTGATGCCATTACAATATCTAAATTTACCAGATATAAAATCATGATAAATTTGATTAATGCTGTATAACAGTGTAGTACATTACTGATATGAATTGATTAAAATTATGTGGCAAGGTTTTACAAAATATCTAAACTTACAAAATGTTCATTGGTACTAATTGCTTAAAACTGAACATATGCAACAATATTTAAGAAAATAAAACAACAACAACACTAAAATGTAACAAATATAGTGTCTCTCATGATATGACTTGAAGTCTACTGCTGTAAGGGAGGTAAATCGAAGAAAAGTCATTGTAACATTACTCGGTCTATCTAGAATTGTGGGGCCATATCACTCGCTTTCAGTCCAAATAAAACACCACCTCGGACAGACTTGAAATATGGGTGTTGTCGTTTAAAATGAACCCCATCCGAGTCATACAGTCGGGTTAAATCTGCCATGCGGTCATGTCGCCAAAATTTACAAAAAACACTCCCGTCAAGGGCGGAAGAAAGCCTGCTGTTTAACTCTTTTACTCTCTGGTTATACACATGAATGTCTACATCACCTCTATGAGAACGAGTTCTCAGACGCGTGAAAAGTTCAAACACTACCACATATTGCACAAATGGGGCAGCGAACAACTGTTCTATCAAAGAAGTAAAGTTTTTAAAAACAACGTCGGGGGTAAGTTCTGGACGGCTCAGGTCATTCCCCGCTATTTGGAGACAGATCACGTCGGGTCGATAGAAATGAATGTCGCCCATATATCGTCGTAATGTGTCAATGGTACCGCCTGAGTAGCCAACCATCTGTATACTGTGCGAATCCTGGCGAAAACCAAGATTGGTGGTGGAAGTTTGTTCGTCACAATATTGTCCCATACGTCGTATGAGGCTATGCCCCCAAACCAACACAGTTTTATTCGCCATCGCCAAATCGAAAAACTACAGATATAACGTTACTTACATACAAGGGACAATTAAAGCAAAAAGTCTACTTTCCCTGTCTGTTTTCTTCTTCCACAGCCGTCATTGGGGGAACGGTTCCTGTAGCGTGCGTACCGCCGCCATGTTTTATGTTGATCCTGATGCTGGCTCACAGTTTTTGATGCATGGGAAGCTTCACCGATCGAAATTTCCTCGCGGAGATAACAAAAAGTTCGATCAAAATCAACTACCAGTCGTTTGTAAGCAAACTGAAGCATAAACGACAAGCCAACAAGCACAAGATGTTGAAAATTCAAATAAATTGCTGCGACTGTATAAATAAAGATGGCGATCTTCTGAATTTTTTTTCTTCTAAATGTTTAGCTGCCAAGTTAAACTGACCAATGAGCTTTGACCTCTGATCTATGAACCCGGATGTGGCAATCGCCTTTTATGGGTAAGGGGGCGTGGCGATGAGCTAGCCCGCTAATGTAAACAAAAACACTGAATTATAACAAAATGGGCAGTACATGCAAAAACACGTTTGTCTTTTTACAAACTCTCATTTATTATCACGATTATAAAAAAAATGTCCATCAGCTCTTCGATCGACCGAGGCTCCACTCCTAAGTCGGCGAATCATCCAAACGTGATAAAACCAAACAAGAAACACAGCATATTTGGTCATTAGGAACGCGAAATACTATTTCCTAAAGTAAACAAAAAATGGCAACACTGTTATAAAAACAAAAGTCACCTGACAGCGTTAGGGTCTCTCGTTGGTATTCTTTGGATTGCTGAACCTGGACCCATAGACAATTATTTACTAACTGAACTTCACATTTAAATGCGGTCATTTTCACTGTCTGAAAAACAAACGAGCGGGGGAAGTATGAACCTACGCTTATCCGCACACGCAAGAGGAAGAATATTGAAAAGAAAATGGATTGAAACAGATCGGATGGTAGAACCCCTGAGAGAACACGAGGAAAGATAGCTACCATAGTCGATAGATATGTAACTGGAACAAAAAAATGGCCTAGAGCACAGAATCTGAGTTTGAGCATAAGAATGGGTTCATTGATACATGAAGAAAGACAATTCGTTGATTGTTCGTGTGTCCGGTGATTGTTCGTGTGTCCGGTGATAGTTCGTGTGACCGGTGATAGATCGTGTGTCCGGTGATTGTTCGTGTGTCCGGTGATTGTTCGTGTGTCCGCTGATAGATCGTGTGTCCGGTGATAGATCGTGTGTCCGGTGATAGCTCGTGTGACCGGTGATAGTTCGTGTAACCGGTGATAGATCGTGTGACCGGTGATAAATCGTGTGTCCGGTGATAGATCGTGTGACCGGTGATAGATCGTGTAACCGGTGATAGATCGTGTGTCCGGTGATAGATCGTGTGTCCGGTGAAAGTTCGTGTGTCCGGTGATAGATCGTGTGTCCGGTGATAGTTCGTGTGTCCGGTGATAGTTCGTGTGTCCGGTGATAGATCGTGTGACCGGTGATAGCTCGTGTGACCGGTGATAGCTCGATCGTGTGACCGGTGATAGTTCGTGTGTCCGGTGATAGATCGTGTGACCGGTGATAGCTCGTGTGACCGGTGATAGCTCGTGTGTCCGCTGATAGATCGTGTGACCGGTGATAGCTCGTGTGAATGTGATATCATAACGAAACACCAATCAGCCTTCTAACCAAGAGACTCGACTGTAAACCAGTTATTATCTATATATGACACTATTGTAAATAACTTGGATCATAACAATGAAATCAGATTTGTATTATGTGATGTAAATAGAGTTTGGCATGGGGGTCTATTTTTTAAATTGGAATCGTATGGCATAAAAGGAAAAACATTACAATGGTTTAGTAATTATCGCTCAGATAGAAAGCAGAGAGTATCAACAGAGGGGTTTTATTAAAACTTTTTATTAAAGGGAACAAAATCATCCAGATATCTTATTTGGTAATGAAACTGTAACTAATAAACAAACTCATAAGCATCTTGGTTTAACTTTGAGTAGTGATGGAGAATAGACATATCATATTGACAATATTTATGAGCTAGCCTGTAGAAGAATGAATATATTGAGAATGTTAAAACACAAATTGGATAGAAAAGGGATAACTGTAGTAACCAAAATAAAAATGTTCAAGAGTCAATTCAACAAGAGGCATTACGAATTATTACAGGATTGCGTAGAGGGACCTCTCATTGCAAGCTTTGTGCAGAAACTGGACTTGAATCACTTTGTTGTAGGCGAAAAAGTCATAAATTAGTATTTATGTTCAAAAGTTTAGATAATGAATCGCCTAAGTACATAGAACACATCATTGAACCCTACCTTTATAGTAATGTAATGTAATCTTGCTTGTAACAAGCATTTGTATTGGCTTAAAAAATGATGTTCTCAGCCCAAAACGTAAAAAAAATAACGTCGCCGTTTGTAACGTCGCTTTTGATTGGCTGATTCAGCAGCGCAATAATTTCTAAAAGAAAAGAGTCCATCAATAAAAGCGGATTTCCACAGGGATTGTGTAAAGTAGATTAAATTAGAAGGATTAACGTGAATATATTTTTCATGTTATGGAGCTATAACACACAAAAAAAGGAGTGTACTCTCATCATAAACCGCTTTGCGGTTTATTTAGAGTACACTTCGTTTTTTTGTGTTATATCTCCATAACATGAAAAATATATTCAAGTTAATCCTTAAATAAATTAACTGAGAATTATTTCAACAGTTATTTTCCCTCAATGTGTAGATAATTTAACCTTCTATCTGCAGAAACTTTAAATGCTACTTCCCTTCAACAATTTAAAAATGTCATCAAGTCTGATAACATGAACAACACTGAAGAAATTGCCAGCACATTTAAATACTATGGGCCAAGAAAATTCAATGTCATAATTTGTCAGCGGAGGAATCATGCTAGCAACCTAAATAGTGACTTATATATGGATCATCTGAATGACCCACCAGCATGTAGATGTGGACATGAAAATGAAAACGCATTTCATTTTATATTTGAATGCCCACTCTATACTATCATTAGAATGTAATTAGTGATAAAAAATCTCAATTTGGTATAACTGATAAGCATGATTGTTACATATATACATGTATGTATATTACATATCTGTCCGAGTCGTTTAGGCATGTCTAAGCAGTCATTTAGTATTACCCATAAATTGTCTATTATTGTCCAATCAAATTGCAGCATTGAATAAACTTCGTAGTTGTCCGCGCCTCGTGGTTCTTGTTGTCGATTCCTAACATGGTGTCAGAAAGACGGGAAATCTAGTGAAATGGAGCAGTTTAAGCCTCCGAGTCCCATGTCTTTCGACGGGGGCAACCTAAGCGAAAACTGGAGACGGTGGTCTCAGAGACTTAACGTCTATCTAACTGCGTCAGGCGGGTCGGAAAAACCAGACGCTACCAATGTCGCCATTATGCTTCACTCCATCGGCGAGGAAGGCCTGGAGATATACAACAATTTCACGTTTGAAAATGAGGGGGACAACCTGAAGTTGAAACCCGTTCTAGACAAGTTCCAAGAGTACTGCAATCCGAGAAAATATACGGTAATTGAGAGGTACATGTTCTGGGAAACGAAACAGAGAGAAGGTGAGTCGATAGACCATTTTGTTACTGAACTAAAACCACGTGCAAAGAACTGTGAATTTGGTGATCAGAAAGACATGATGATTAGAGACAGAGTAATTTTTGGCATCGATAATGACCGTTTGAAAGAAAGATTGCTGAGAGATTCAGCAGACCCCTCGCTAAACCGCATGATTGAGATCTGCAGAGCCTCAAAGGCGAGTGCGAAGCAGATGAAGGAAATATCTGAGCCCGGTACTGATACAACCACTGGTGCCGCCGCTACAGCTGTCCACGCAGTGAGCAAACGTAAACAATCGTTTGGTGGTAAACAATCCAAACAACCACAGAAAACACAACATAAGCAACAACATGCTACTTCGAACAAATGGAAATGTAGGAATTGTGGCAAGTCACACCCCAAAAATGAATGTCCTGCGTTCGGTAAACAGTGTCACAAATGTGGAAAAAACAATCACTTCAAGAATCTGTGTCGCAGTGGTAAGAAGAGTGGTCGTATGAATCATGTGTATGATGTTGCCTTAACGGAGGAGGACACTGACAGTTTCAGTGACCTATTTATCAGAGAACTACAGGTCGGGCAGATAAACGACACGGGTAAGACGGGCTGGTTTACAATTCTAAAGGTAAACAATCAGAAAATTCAATTCAAACTCGACACAGGTGCAGAAGCTAACGTGATGCCATTAGCGTGCTTCGAGAAGCTGAACAGAAAGCCTAAACTTATACGGACAAATATAGTGTTGTCAGCCTATGGTGGACACAAAGTCAAACCTACAGGGAAGGCTATTCTGCGGTGTAGAAACACAGACATTGAGTTCTATATAGCTGATGTCAAGTCACCACCGATACTAGGTCTTCAGACCTGTAAGGAGCTACAGTTGGTTGAGCGAACAGACAGTAAGTCAGACATACACACAGTTCAGAAGGAACAAGGTGGAACACTTAATAAATCAAAACTGGTTGAGGACAATCAAGATGTGTTCACAGGACTCGGGAAGTTCAAAGGTCAGTACCATATTGAACTTGACCCAAGTGTACAGCCTGTCATACACCCACCCCGTAAGATACCTTTCAGCTTGCAGTCAAGACTGCAGGAGACTTTACGTAAACTGGAAGCGGATGACATCATCGCTGCTGTTGACAAGCCCACTGAATGGGTGAACAGTATTGTCCTAGTTGAGAAAAAGAATGGATCACTAAGGGTTTGTCTCGACCCTAGGGATCTCAACACGGCAATCAAAAGACAACACTACAGAATCCCCACCCCAGAAGACATTTCTGCAGAGCTCCACGACAAGAAGGTTTTCTCAATCCTTGATGAAAAGGACGGTTATTGGCAGGTCGAATTGGATGAGCCATCTTCATACCTGTGTACCTTCAATACGCCATTTGGCAGGTACAGATTCAAACGCATGCCTTTTGGCATTAGCTCAGCAAGTGAGGTTTTCCAGAAGAAAAACCAGGAAACCTTTGGAGACATCCGTGGTGTGAGGATGATAGCTGACGATATGATAATCGCAGCTAAGGACTCTGTAGAACATGACAGCATCATTACCAAGGTCATGGAGAGAGCGAGGGAACAGAACATTAAGTTCAATCCGTCAAAAATCCAATTCAAAGTGGAAACAGTCAAATACATGGGCAATGTTATTACACAGGAAGGGCTTAAACCTGATGCAGACAAGATTGAGGCAATTGTAAGCATGCCTACGCCTGATGATATGCCAGCTCTACAAAGACTGTTAGGTATGGTAAACTATCTGTCTAAGTACATTCCGAACATGTCGGAAATTACCTCCCCTTTGAGAGAATTACTTAAGAAGGACATCGCTTGGATCTGGGACACAACACATGATCATGCGCTGAAAGTCATCAAGGACGTCCTCACAGCGAAACCTGTCCTTAACTTCTTTGACCAGACGAAGCCTGTAACAATTCAGGCAGACGCGTCGCAAAACGGTCTCGGAGCGTGCTTAATGCAAGAAGGGAAGCCGATCGCATATGCGTCAAGGTCACTCACGTCGGCGGAGAAAAACTATGCGCAGATTGAAAAAGTTAGCCATTGTATTCTCATGCGACAAGTTTCATCAATATGTATATGGTAGACCTGTTGAGGTCCAGACTGATCACAAACCCCTAGAGACAATCACCAGGAAACCTCTGTCCAGAGCCTCACCAAGGCTGCAGAGGATGTTGCTAAGGTTAAAGCGGTATCAGATCAACACTACATATGTACCTGGCAAGTATATGTTTATAGCTGATACTTTGTCGAGAGCCTATCTTCCCACCACTGGAGATGCCACAGAGCTCAACAAGGAGATGGAAGTCATGGTCCATGGATTGGTAACAAGCTTATCAGTAAGCCCGTCAAAGCTTGACCAACTTGTCAAGGTCACAGCACAGGACTGTGAGCTACAGGACTTAGTCGCTACTGTGAGAAAGGGTTGGCCAACAGTGAAATCTGAGAGCCTCATGTCAGTACGCCCATACTGGACAATCAGAGACGAGATCTTTGAGGCTGAAGGACTATTATTCTATGGCGAGAAGTTGATCATCCCTAAACAACTTCGTCGTGAAATGCTCGCAACCATTCACGAGTGTCACCTTGGAATGGAAAAGTGCAAGTCAAGGGCACGCGCAAGTGTCTACTGGCCTAATATGTCATCTGACATTGAAGATTTTGTATTACGATGTTCCACATGCAACAGATTCAAGCCCAAACAGCAAAAGGAACCTCTCATTCCTCACAAGGTACCTGACAGGCCTTGGCAAAAACTGGGAATGGATTTATTCCAGTTTGGATGTAAAGACTATCTAGTCATAGTAGACTACTACTCCAAGTTTCCTGAAATATGCATGCTAGAGAACAAAACGGCTAGCAATGTTATCCTGCACCTGAAGTCAGTACTAGCAAGGAACGGCATCCCAGAGGTCATTATGTCTGACAACATGCCATTCAGTTCTAGAACATTCAGAGAGTTTGCGAGGAAATGGGACATAGAACTAGTGACGTCAAGTCCTACCTACGCACAGTCTAACGGTTTGAGTGAGCGGATGGTGCAAACCATCAAGAACTTTCTCAGGACAGCTGAGGAAGACAACAGTGACCCATATATTGCACTGCTGGAATACAGGAACACTCCGTTAGCAGGAACTGATTATTCACCAGCACAGCTATTGATGAGCAGGAGGTTGAGGTCGAGGATACCCACAGGTCGTGACTTATTGACACCCAAGGTCGCTCATAGTGCGTCTGAGCAACTCAGGTCGCGTCAGGACAGACAGAAGTACCAGTATGATAAACGAGCCAAGTCACTTCCTCAGATAAGACCAGGAGAGTCTGTGAGGGTTCGAGTTAACAGAACCTGGGAGCCTGCTCGGGTACGTCAGAAACACACCGAGCCCAGGTCATTCATCATTCAGACACCCAACGGCAGGAAGTACAGGAGAAACAGGAGAGACCTGCTTAAGACAGCAGAACCTCCACCTACTATCATTGGCACAGAGATTGAGGAGCCAACAGCAACAATGACAAACGCTACGTCGGAGCCTCGTGCAGTAATATCAAAGCCACAAGGAACCCCTGGAAAACAACAAGACTCTGTTGTCCCAAAAACTGTACCATCTACTAGTAATGTTGCAAACAGTGTGAAAACCTCTAGTGGCCGCGTTGTGAAACCACCCACTTGGTTCAAAGACTATACTCCGTGATCGTGTGTGTGCAAGATTGGTGGTAAAGACCAATCTCTACGGCGAGTCATGTGCTAGTAACCTCTGACTCCACAAACTTTCATGTGTTCTTTTGTTAATGGTAGTTAGTTTGTTCATTCTGTTCATTTTGATATTTGTTGATGAACTGAAAGACAACAGACAAAACTTTGATTCATTTTTCATTAGTTTTTAATGAGATCTTGCATTACCTAGTTGTCCGCGCCTCGTGGTTCTTGTTGTCTATTCCTTACAATGATCATTTTAGTCTAAAAACTCTATCAAATGGATGCTTAATATGCAGCACTGATATCAACATATCCATTTTACAAAGTATATCTGACTTTACTTGTCAAACTAATAGACTTGATATGTAATCTCACTCACAGCTTAACTCTACATTGAAAGTGATGCTATTATTTATAGTGCCATGATCACTCTACTAATAAGTATTGATACTGGTGTATATACATTTTGTATATCTATCTTCACAACATCTCTTGTATTCGGCTGGACTGGATGGAATTTATGAGTGTACTACTCTATAACCTGTGCTAACTATTTTATAGTTACCTGAATATTCTCTAGTTCTTTATTAAATAAATGTTAAGAGAATCAACTCCAATATTAGATAATAATAACTACATTTTCCTATATTAATCCGCATCATATTCTGAAATTTTACAGAATGTTTATTTCTTGGTAACTTATCCTATATATCCAGTGGGTGGATGGCCAATGTGTTTATACACAGGGACTTTTGGGCCTGTATTCCTTGGATTTTATGTAGGATGGGTTGTCAACAAATGTACATGATTTATTTAATAACAGAAAATGATTGAATAATAGTTGAAAAGTGTTCATTTCACAAGCTAAATCTCACCTGTACTGTTTTATTGGATTGCTATGACAGAATAATGTTTTAAATAGGTTTGGAAAGGACTTAGTTAGGCCTAGCCTGATGTCCAATCCAATTGACATATAAAAAGTCAATAATATCTGTTGAAATTGAAAAATAATTCCTTTGTCCGGTGATAGATCGTGTGTCCGGTGATTGTTTGTGTGTCCGGTGATAGCTTGTGTGTCCGGTGATAGATCGTGTGTCCGGTGATAGTTTGTGTTTCCGGTGATAGCTTGTGTGTCCGGTGATAGCTTGTGTGTCCGATGATAGATCGTGTGTCCGGTGATTGTTTGTGTGTCCAGTGATAGCTTGTGTGTCCGGTGATAGATCGTGTGCTCGGTGATAGATCGTGTGTCCGGTGATTGTTTGTGTGTCCGGTGATAGATCGTGTGCCCGGTGATAGTTCGTGTGTCCGGTGATAGCTCGTGTGACCGGTGTTTGTTTGTGTGTCCGGTGATAGATCGTGTGTCCGGTGATTGTTTGTGTGTCCGGTGATAGATCGTGTGTCCGGTGATAGCTCGTGTGACCGGTGTTTGTATTATCTTGTGTTTCCTCAAACATAAGAAAGACTGCTATTCATGTAAAGACATTTTTTCTGTTTCTTGTTTGGCATTGGTGGACATGAGAAATATCTTCAGAGGTCATCACAAGCGAAATGAAGTTTGTGGAAGTTATGGTAGATTTTTGAGAATGTGTCGTGTCATTGAAATTTTGGCACTGAACATCAATTTAGCTGAAAGTTTTCCATGACAATGATTTATACCAGATGTCATTTGTCAGTCTCGGTAGCACCGTATCAACTATCTACTGTGGATATTGAGTTCACCCTTCATCAAATTAAGTAGCCCAGTCAGTAATGTCGCCATACAGACGCCTTTTTGCAGCAACTGATCGGAGAGGTGTTTTCATTTCAGTTTATTTGTAAATGGCTGATGGTTGTTTTCCGTGGCAATGGGATATATGGAAACCGTAATTTCAACGAATCACAGCGACAAATCATTACGAAAGGAAGCATAACCGAAAGGGAATGAGAGTAGTTTGAAACGGGAAGTCAGGAGTTGGAATATATAGATTGCTTTAACTGCTTTTGGCAATTTCAACGTTACCAGTATTTAAAACGCAAAACGTTTAAATAAGCAAGGTGCATCCACGAAAACGTAAGAGGTACTAGATAGTATTATTTAAAAACAATTATGAAATATCCGGGTTCGTCGAGGCATCAAATTTCTGAACAGTAGCGGTTTAAATATGTTTTATTTCTTCAGTTGAATGATCTTTCCTAATTGGAGAGCGACATTCCCGACAAACTATTTTCATTTTGTGTGGCCTTGAAACAGCGGTCTTACAGTATGATTGAGTGGCGATGTTGACAACGTGATAGAGTGAAGTGTAATTTTAAGAGATTAACTAATCAACATATAAAAACAGGAAACCTCAAACGTTTAGATAAAAAGATGGAAAACAAGACTGAAATAAGATTGATGTGTATGTTAATCAGAGTTAATCGCAATCGAAATAGATAGAAAAAAAACGTAAGTATACACGTATGATTGACGAACTGTATAACATATCACGTGTATGAAGGATGGGATTTTATTTTTCCAAAAAATTAAATAATACAATTCTTGGAATTAAAAAATGAATTTGTTCAATTATTTGAGGAATTGTAAACAACAAAACCGTGCATCTATTTTTTTTAGCATTGATGTAGTGACAATCAGAACTACAAAGAGAAAAGCACTCCAATGTAAACACAATGGAGGTAAAATTAGCTACGTAATATTAACCAACCGACTAAATACTGTTATAACAGTCCTAGCCAGTGTGTAAATATAGGTCCGCATTCTTGTAAATGATAAGAACGAAACAAGCCATTGATTGGTTTCAAAATTAGAACGATTAATTCTTGTGAATATAAATCAACTAACAAGTTTCAAAATTAGCCGTTAGCTTCATTATTATATCGTTTTAGTCTTATAAATATAAACCAAACCACCCTTTATTTGTTAACGATAACGGTTTAGTTAAAGCGAACACAAATTAAATCAGCTGGGTTTTTTCATGATCAGTCTTCCGGTGACGTGTTCTATATTTTCGAGTAAGGAGATTGATCCTGCACTCACATCATGTTAAATGCGGTGAAGTATACGTTTTTACCTTCTTTGCAATTTATGCATCAGCTTATTAATGTTTAATATGTGCTTTCTCGGTATTGCTAGTTATCGTTTTTACAACCATGGACATTGAATTTAAAGGCCACGCTAGTTTATACCATCAATATGTAACGGGTAACGTTACCAACTTGTATCCAAGATTCAGTATTTGATAAGATCCTTTAAAAATTGTAACAACAATTATAAGATACAGTTTATTAAATTTAATAATGCATCGCATTGTACATATAAATAAACAATGCAAATATTTGTACTTTGGCTGTTGATCTTACATTTCAAACAGTGAACAATGTTCGTTTTACATAAAGGACATTAAAATCTCAAACGGACCAGCCAAGAGTTGGTTTGGATATTAAAGTTGTTTATAAGTAGGCGCGGGTTCAACCCTTGACAATAATGGCATGTCTTGTTGGCATCTAAACATGGTGCTTAAATACTATTTGAGGTACTGCTGATCTCCTGACAAGACATTGGCTCACTTATCAATTGTTTATAAATACGATTGTTATAAGTTAACGCGTTAAACAAATCACATCACGCACAGCTGGACGGAAATATTGGTATATTTTATCTTGTAAATAGCCATACACATATATAAATCGTCGAAATACAGTTATAGATATTATATGTTGTACATACAGATATACTTATCTTTTAAATACAGATCCAGATATATCTTATCTCGGAAATACAGATACAGATATGTTTATCTTGTATCAACTGACTTTCGGCAGAAATAAGCAGAAGAAATTAAGCACCTCTTAAAATGTGTTTGTATGTGAAGAAAGCCGAGCGAAATAAACATTTTACTGACTGTGTAACCATTTCCAATAAGGACTCAGCAATGGTACGAAATGTTGAAATAATAAATAGTCAATGTCTAAAGTGAAAACAGCGAATATTGAACGGTGCCTAAAAACCCTACATGACGTTACGAACTTACAACTTTATGCAAAAATGGGTATTTGTTTTACTTAAAATGGTAATTCCCGTAAACCCTGCTAGAACTAATTCCGACTATAAAGCTACTACCAACCTCGATCATGTACATACATATTGATAAAGAAATGTTATAATAATTGATGTTTAAACATGTAAATAGATACATGTATCTTGTAACAACTGTTGTTTGAAAAGGAAACTTTACAAACTGTCTTCCTGTCAGTGTGCTATTGTCTTTACTGCAATACATGGTACCCTCGGTGACACAAGGAATTCATTATTCTAAACGAGACATTAATCAATCAAACTTAAAACTAATGTTGTCACTGGAGAGAAAAGCTGTGAAATATCGGCTAAAATGCCACTATCAAATAAAAAATAACGAAGACTTATTTGTAAGTTCGCCATACATCAGGACTCTTAATGATCCTGTGGTCTCTATGTCGTAGTATAAATGTAGGGGGAACCATGTAACCTTATCGAGGGTCAACAAACAGGGATAAAGGTGGTTCGTCCACACCGAGGGTACCATATAACCTTACCAAGGGTCAACAAACAGGGATAAAGGTAAGTGTTTCATTCACACCGAGAGTACCATATAACCTTATCTAGGGTCAACAAACAGGGATAAAGGTGGTTCATTTACACCCAGGGTACCATGTAACCTTACCTAGGGCCAACAAACAGGGATAAAGGTGGTTCATTTACACCCAGGGTAACATGTAACCTTACCTAGGGTCAACAAACAGGATTACAGGTAAGTGTTTCATTCACACCGAGGGTACCATGTAACCTTACCTAGAGTCAACAAACAGTGATAAAGGTGGTTCATTAACACCGAGGGTACCATGTTACCTTACATAGGGTCAACAAACAGGGATAAAGGTGTTTCATTCACACCGAGGGTACCATGTTACCTTACCTAGAGTCAACAAACAGTGATAAAGGTGGTTCATTCACACCGAGGGTACCATATAACCTTACCT